CCCTAAAAAAAGATTAGCTTCTGTTTCTAAATTGTCCTTCACATATAGTATAATGCTAACATAAAATGTGGTTTATTTTTATTTAGCACAATGTATAAATTATTCTTTCTCAATTAAAGTCTTCACTACATGCAAGCTACAGTAAATGACTTTGTTTATTTAATGTTTGTTTGTTTGTTTGTTTGTTTGATTATTAAATTTATTTGCCACATCTCATTTTGAAGCAACTCTGAGTGGCTTACACTTCAACATTAATACCATTAAAATAATAAAACATAAATATTTCTAAAACAATAAAAAGGGAAATTACAATGAAAAATAGAATTATAAGGGGGAAGTGGGATTGCCTCTTAATTCATCAACCCCTTCCATTGTGATGATCCCCCTTTGGGGCCCAAGCCATCTGGCAGACCCAGGTCTTTAGGCCCATACGGAAGGTCAGAAAAGTGGGAGCCAATCTTACTTAAGGGGGTAAGATGTTGCAAAGGGCAAGAGCCATGGCAGGGAAGGATCTTCTCCTGGACCCCACTAGCCAGAATTCATTGACTGACATGTGCCCTCAGCATGTCTGCTCTGCCGGGATGGGTGGAACGGACCAATACCAGTGGGGTGAAATGGTTCCTTAAGTTTACATATCTCATTAAGCTAAGATTAAAGCTAATTAATATTTTAACATGATATGCATTTATTTATTTATTTATATATTTATCAAATTTAGAAACCGCCCCCTCACTCACAGAGGGACTCTGGATAGAATACAAATAAACAAATAAAAGTGTCATCAGAAAATAACTAATAAAAATCTATATCTTTAGATAAATCACCAAGAATATAAAGACAGTTAATATAAATATCTAAGAATGAAAATTATGTGAATGATGAATAAATTGTCTATATATAACTAAAAATAATCCCCCTCTCATACATACAGTATATTTTTTAAGTTTTATTTTAACAGATATTTCAAAATGCAACCAAATACAACTAAGAAAAGGAGGAAAAGAAACATGAAGGAAATTAAGCTATGTAAAATTGGACAAGATGTGTCCAAGTAGATTATATTAAATTAGCAATACATATAAAAATAATAATAAACTTTCAAATCACTAATTAAGGGGGCAACCAATGTCAAAGTAATTCATCAGAATAAACAATTAAGAAAAATCTATCATAATGAATCAGATAAAATTCTAATATTTGAAAGACAAAGTTGAGAGAAACCAAAACATTGGAGATAGTACATTTGCAGAATTATAGCCCATAAATAGTTTGTAGTAAAATTGAATTCTGTTGCAATCTTGATTTTATTTTGACATTGATGTAAATTCTTACAGCTTTGACTAGTATTATAGAAAAGTAGAAAGTCAATACTTAAGATTTGTTTTTAATCTATTATCTTTTAGAATATTTGAGCTTTATGATTCTCATCAAATGTGAGAAAATAAGGATTCAATCTGACATCTCCAGAATTTTTTAAAACATAAATTACCAAAAATCTTGTAATAGTTTTTTTCCCTTCAGTGTAATATTTTCAGCTAATTTAATATTTATCTTCTACTGGTATTCCTATTATGATACATCAGTCCTCCTGTTTAAATTCTGCATCCCTTTAACCATGGAATATTGATATGTTCAGATTATTTTATAAATAATCCCCAACAAATCTGCTAAATTTTATATTGCAAGTTTTTGAAATTTGTTTACATTTCTTGAGTATTCTATCTTGTTCTTGTTCTTCCTTTTGAACTGCACTACTTCTCTGAATATAATTAACCAATGATACATTTCTGATCATTCCAACAAGAGCTTCTCCAAATATTTCATTCTGGTTTTATTAAAGATTAAATGTCACAATCTATAACGGGTCCCCAACCCCTGGTCCGTGGACCAGTACCGGGCCGTGGCATGCCAGCAACCATTCCGCACAAACAAGGAAAGCCCCATCCACAGGATGCAGGCAGCGCACAAAACCACGCCTTGGTCCATTTATCTTCAGGAAAATAAATATTTAGTACTGAAACAATGGTGCATGTCTGGCCTTATTATCTTTCTGCATTTATTCCCAAGTATCAATATAATTATTGATCTCTTATAGATTGTGCATTTCTGTTTTTATCCAATAAAAATAATTATGCAAGCTTTCTATGAGTCTTACTTCATCAGTAGAAATAACCCAGCTGTATGTTAGTATGATCCAGTCTGTAATCCAAGTTAGAAAATTGATCTGATAATTTGAGATTTAGTTTAGCCAGTGCACTTTGTTCTTCCATACCTTGCAAATCTTATTTTTATTGGTTTTAAGAAATAATTCATCATAGGTTTATAGGCAATCAAATTATCACTTTGTCAACCACTGAAACAGTAAATTCAGTTTTCTAATAATAAAGCATCATTTTACCTTTTTATATTTTAAGGTTGTACATGGTGGGATTCTTTTACTCATTGATAGTGCAAACAAGAATATTTTTATATTATATCCAGAGTACATGTTTTTTTTATCATTTCTTATTTTCTTTTGATTAAACTGTATATTAAAATACTCCGAATAGCTGAATTAGAAAGGCAGTACAATAATATTACAGTAATAAAATGTATTTCGGTATATATAATCTGCATGTTGTACCTATTCAATAAAATATATTTCACATAGTTAATGAGATAATGAACATCTGAAACACATGACAAACTTTGTAAACAATTGTTCATAAGACAGAAAGGATAACAAGTAATATCTATTATAATGTTTTCATTACAATTTGGAAGGACTATTTAAAATGCTGTTTCTCCTTGGTTTTAGACACTATTCTGCAAGATTCTTAAGTACTATACAATAGAGCACTTAGTATCATGCTGAGGGATTATTTACACTCTGAGAAGATTTCTTAATCCAGTTAAAGATGCGGGGAACAGAATAATTCCAGTTCTAATGGGTTGCAAAATGGTAGCAATTCATCAGTGCCTTTTTGTGCAAAATTATTTGGGATTTCACAAACTTTTAAAAAAAAATCTTTTAGTACTAAGCAGAGATGGATGGGACTAGTTTATGGAAATGAAGTAACTAATCTGAACTGCTGGCGTAGTAAATATCAAGTCACAGTATAGTAAACATTAGAATACTTAAACTTAAAGTGAGATACACAGTGGTTCTTTTTGATAAACCAAAAAATGTTATTCCTGTTCCAAAAAGTGTTATTCCTCCTTTTTTTAAAAAAAAATGTCATTAGCAATAATTTGGTTGTATCATTAGAAAATTTCACAAGGATATGAACATTCAGCAGTAACCTTTCATCTATATTTTTGCCTAAAGTTAATAAAATACACAAAAAGAAAATCAAAGACTTTCATTGTAAACTTTTGGATATTAGTGTTTCAGGTAAAGTTAGATGAAAAACAATATGCTGTGTGAAACATAAGTACAAGAGTGGAATTGCATGTCCTGAACCTTAATAGCCTTTTTTAAAAAATACTGTAAATTTAAATTTTCAGTGGTAGATTTTAAGAATTTGACTACAGAGTCATAAAAAGGGAATTCATTAAATTTGTATGTCAGCCCGAGTCCATGTTGAGTTTGATGTCCTTAATAGTCTAAAATTATATATACATATAAATAAATATAGGTAGTCCTTGGTTAACAAAGGAATCAGAATTTACCTCGCTAAGCAATGTAGTTGTAAGTCACAATATCTTGTAACCATATCGCTTAGTGATGGTGATCCCAACAGACCTTGTAGCAATCATTATGCAAGGATTGCTGTTCAGAGAGTGCCAGAGAGCTCACAAGCAGATCAGCCAACAGGTAAGTGTCTATTGCCAGGCAGGGAAGAGTGTTCAGGTGGCAGATATGGCACAAATGTAGCATGGGTAACTGCTGCCAGGTGGGGGGAAATGCAAGCAACTTTTGGAGTGACTTGTAACATTCCCTCAACTTTCCCATTGATTTTGTTCATGGGAAGTCATCAGGTAACATTGCAACCATCATATGTGCAAGCCAGTTGCCAAGTGCCCAGATCACAATCACATGATTACAGGAGTGTGAGACAATTTGCATGTATGACTTTTAAGGACCAGTCATATTGCTCATTCAGTGCCATTGTAACTTTAAACAGTTGCTGAATGAGTAGTCATTGAATGAGGATGACATATACTAGCTTTATTTTGCTATTATTTATAACCTCCCATCTATTACATACATTACAGGAGTATAAAAATACTACAAACTCTTTGGAATTGGGTAATTTACTCTGCATCTCGGAAAATCACCTTCAAATTTTAGCAGCAGGTCCTACTAAAAACATGATAGGGCCTACTGCTAAAATTTGATGGTGATTTTCTGAGATGCAGAATAAATTACTTACCGTAGTTCCAAAGATTTTGTAGGGATCCTGGCTTCATGTCTAAGGCAGAACTAAAACTCAAGGTTTCTTGGTTTCTAATCAAGTGCCTTTAACCACAACATCAAAATGGTTCTTAAAAACAACAGTTTATCTATTTAGGAGACCAGCACAGTTTGACCTTTCATTGAGATGTCATCTGATGGAAAGTTAATCAAAAAAATCTGCTAACAATCTTTCTTTCTTCCAATACCAGTGGAAAAACATATCACAAATATGAATGTCATTAGGAATAATGTAATAAAATATATGTCCAGCCTCTGATTGAAATTAACAGTTGAAATGATTATTTCCCTTGCTAGTTGTTCTAACTGTTTGGTTTTCTCCGAGATTCAATTTGAATCTGTCTTTCCCTGTCCTTGAAATAAAGTAAAAACAGATCTTTACCTTCTGTGTAACATACTTGCACATTCTTGAAAAGTGCTATTGTACATTGGCTTCTTTGCTGTCATTTTTCTTCTTGCACCCCACTAAAATTAACTATTTGTATAGAAGCAGCGCAAAAGTCTGTAACACTTACTAATGAATTATTTGTGCAAAGATTGCAATATTATGTTTGTAATACATATGTTTTAATATAAGAAATATACATGTTTATTTTCTTGGTAGGTCACAGTAATGAAAGGCAGCAATAGGAATAAAGATCACTCAACAGACGGAGAAGGAACTGGAAAACGACCAAAGAGGAAGTGTCTTCAGTGGCATCCACTACTTGCAAAGAAAATTCTTGACTTTTCTGAAGAGGAGGAGGAGGAAGAAGACGAGGAAGATATTGAAAAGGTAAAGTTATCCTTTTGAAAAGTAGAATTAAGAATTACACCCCTTAGTGAGTTGCAGATCTTCTCATAAGTCCTCAACCTATGACCACAATTGAGCCCAAAATTTCTGTTGCTAAATGAGGCAGTTAAGTGACTTTTGCCCCATGCTACAACACTTCTTGCCACAGTTGTTAAGTGAATGACTGCAGTTATTAAGTTATTAAAACTGTTGTAAAGTGAATCTGATTTCCCCATTGACTTTGCTTGTCAGAAGTTCGCAAAAATTGATGAAATGGCCCCTGGACACTGCAACCATCATAAATATGAACCAGTTGCCAAGCAACTGAATTTTGATCACATGAGCATGGAGTGCTTCAATAGTTCTAAGTGTGAAAAATGGTCATAAGTCACTTTTTTCAGTGCTGTTGTAACTTTGAATTGTCACTAAACTAATGGTTGCAAGTCAAGGACTACCTGTTTTAAGAAATTAAGCTCATTTATAAATAGCTTTTTTTTCATATCAGAGCTTAAAAATTGACTGCATGCTCAGTGAACCATATCTTTAATGGTGTTTTGAAGAGCATTTTTATAAGGCATATACTGTTTTTGAAAACAGAGAAGATATTTCCTGAATCATATTGTGGGATCCTGACTACAACAGATGACCACATTATTCCTCAAATTATATTTGATTAACATATGAAAACAGCAGACCGTAAAGTCCTCAAAGTCTTTCCCTTGAAGTTGTGCCACCTTCACCCAAATACTGCTATTAATATCTAAGGCTAAAGAGAACATATAAGCAGAGTGAATTTAATTTAATTTAAATCATTCAATTTAGGCATATCTGATTTTGAACCAATTTCAGCAAAAGCAATAACAATTAGACTTATAAAGTGCTTTACAGCCCTCTCTAAGCGGCTTACAGAGTCAGAACATTGCCCCCAACAATCTGGTTCCTCATTTTACTGACCTCGGAAGGATGAAACACTGAGTCAACCTTGAGCTGGTCAGGATTGAACTGCTGGCAGTCGACAGAATTAACCTGCAATACTGCATTCTAACCACTGTGCCACCATGGCTCTTGAGGTATAGCAATGTGTACAGTTAAGCCAAATTAAAAAAAAACTACAATATAATTATGAAAGAAAAAACTACAACCAATGGTGTATCTGGCTAATCACACTCTCACTATATGAAACTGGAAGCTACCTATACATTTCCAAATTTAGAATGGTATAGATTTTATTTTTATTCATTTAGTCAATCAACCAACTCAGATAGCTACCCATTGGACATGCATTGTATATTCAATTAAAAGAAAAACACATTAAAATGTAGCAAAATATATTTGCCACAGATAACTTCAAACAGCCAAAAACAGAAACAGGCACAAAATGTTCTGATTTACTGCTTAGTAAAGGCAGGCAGGGTTATCTGAACCTGAGGAGGAATCTTGTTCAAACAAAATCAGCAGCAGATAAGTTATGTCTTGTGTCAGATAACATTGCTTAAGAGATGGAAGCTGGAGTAAGCCCACCCATATCTTACTGGCTGGGGAAATCAAATACTGCAAGTATTGTACATGCGGCTGCTTCTAGAGATCATCTAGAAGCTTCACTTGGTACAAAAAGCAATGATCCAGAGATCCATAGGTACCAGTGTGTACATACTGCAGTTTAAAGTGTTGGTTGTAACCTATAAAGCCCCTTATAGCTTGGCACCAGGTTACTTTCAGAACAATCTCTCAATTGGCATAAGTCAAACTACTTTGGTCATGTTGGGAAAGCATCTCATTGTCCCCCATTTTGGGGAGTTTGATGGACAGAGAGTTAGAGACCTTGTTTTTCTGTCAAAGCGCTAACTTTCTGCAATGGTCTCCTGCCTTGGTGTATTTGACACCAGTTCTACTTGTCTTCCAGATATATTTAAAAATAGACCTTTTCTAAAGGGAATTGGGGAGCCAATGCAAGATGGTATCTGAAATGTATGTTTGTGCATTTTTTTCTGTTGGTTTTTGTATTTTTAATTTTTTATTTCTGTTTTTCATGTTCTGAACAAGCACCAGTGTGCATGTGAGGATGTAAATGATAAAGAAACTAGGACATTGTAGAACAGGGGTGTCAAACTCAATTTCATTAAGGGCCGCATCAGCATTGTGGTTGCCCTCGGGGGGCCAGGTAGGTGTGGCCAGGGTGGGTGCGGCCCACTGGGTGGGCGTGGATGGAGTGGGTGTGGCCTACTGGGTGGGCGTGGCCAGCTCTACATTTGCGTCAAGGTGCCTGTGGGGACCTGAGTAGGAGTGGGACAGATCTGAGGGTCTCTGGCAGAAGGGGGTGGGACCAGGGCAAGTGCCAAGGCATGGTCCACTGGAGGAGCCTCACTGTTCCTCTCAGGCCATGCAGAGGGAGGGCTGGATGGTGGTGCGGGCTGCCAGGAGCCCTGGACAGCAGAGGTCAAATGCCAGCCTGGCCCTCGAGCACCTGCGGCACCAAGCCCAGCCCCACTTCCCCAAGGAGACGCCCAGCTGCACTTACCTCCTCCTCAAGGCTGCTGCTGTTATGCTTGCTCTCCTTACTCAGGTTGTTCATGATGGGTACGAGGGCAAAGTCAGAGGGAGGCCCATTCCCTGTCCATGGGAGGAGACCCGGCTTTGTATCCAAAGCTTCCTTAGCAATAGGATGGGAGACCCCCAGGATAGGCCAGGAGGAGGGGGCAAGGGGATGGTGAAAGGGCAGCAGGGCAGGACTAAGGCAGGACTTCCCTCAGACCCTCCCTCTCCTCCTTTCCTTCCTTCCTTCCTAAGTACAGAGTGGTGGGAAAATATTTGAGACGAGGGAGGGAGAAAAACAGGCAAGAAATGCAGCTGGGGAGGTGTCACCCTTTGTGAGGAATGAAGAAATGCGCCATCATCTGGAAGTGGCCAGCACATGGCCCTCACCTACTTCACATATCTGGCTTGGTGGGCTCTGGGGGAGGGGATGCCTTGAGCAGCGTGAGAGTCAATGTTACCTGCGCAATGCCATTCAGCTCCCAGCCTGCCCGGTTTTGTCACGCAGTGAGGCACTCTCCTAACAGCGCCGAGAGGCGGAACCAGGCGGCACGAATTTGAAAAGAATTGTGATGCCGCCCAGTCCCCAGCCTGCCCGGTTTCAGCAGGAGCGGGGCTCTTTCCTCACAGCGCCGAGAGGTTGAGCCATGCGGTGCGAAGCTTGCCAGCTTTGCATCTTGCTGCCTGCTGAAACTGGGCAGGCTGGGGGCTAGGCAGCATTGCACTTCTCATGGCGCTATGAGGAGAGCGCCCCACTGCCTGCTGAAACCGGGCAGGATGGGAGCTGGGCAGCCTCGCGTTTCTTTTGAGATTTGTGCCGCCTGGCTCAGCCTCTCTGCACTGTGAGGAGAGAGCCCCACTGCCTGCCGAAACCCCTCCCCCAGAGCCCATCAAGCCAGATATGTGAAGTAGGTGAGGGCCATTTGCTGGCCACTTCCAGATGATGGTGCATTTCTTCATTCCTCACGAAGGGTGACACCTCCCCAGCATGCACCTAGGGGGTGGGGCCGACGCAGCAGGGGCTGGTTCCTCACTGTTTCCAGACGGCCTTGTGGAGCTAAGACTGCGTTTTAGCATAGATGGCCACCACAAAATTGTACATTGGCTCCCGGCCGGCCAGGGCCAAGGCAGCGGGGGCCGTTCCCTCACTGTTTCCAGGATGGCTTCGCGGGCCACATGAAACCACTTTGCAGGCGGCATCCGGCCCCGGGGCCTTGTGTTTGACATGTCTGTTGTAGAAGAATGTAGAAGTCTTAATGTAATTATTGTAGCTCTGAATGAAACATCAGGAAGAAGATTGAATGATAAAAGTTTGTGGCCTTTGTTGTCTATCGTCTGATGCTCTGAATATGGAAAATAAAATGAGCATCAACTAGTACAGAGAAGCATATAAAATTTAATAACATAATAGACATCTGGTGAAATTCCTGTCCTGGATTACAGTGTAGTAGTTGAAGTTTGTTTAAGAGGATCAGAAGCAATAAACAGAGAAATCCAAGTAATGAAGTTGACAATATTGTAAAGAGTTAAAGTATATGGAAAAACAATAAAAGTTATATTGTTAGTGTCTGTTATCATCCACTCAGTCAAAGCAAATGTGGATGATTTGTCCAAAACCAAAACTGCAGATCTTTCAAAGAAACATGAAGTAATAGAGATAGGGAACTTAACTCTGACAATCTGTTGGAAGGCTCACTCATGGAGCTACAACACTGAGAGATGTTTTGCTGAGTCCTCCGTTAGATGCTTTAACTTGAATTCCTGCACTGCGCAGGAAATGAATTTCATTGTTCTACAAGTAGTCCTCAGTTAATGACCACTCATTCAGCAACCATTCAAAGTTACAACATTATTGAATGAATTGTATTTCTGAGTGGTCTTCAAAAGTTCCATCTGTCACAGTAACTCCATGGTCATGTGATCCCTTGGCAATCAGCTCACACTTATGACAGTTACAATATCCCACGGTCATGTCATTGCAATTTGTGACCTTCCCTGCTGGCTTCCCACAAGCAAAATTAATGGGGGAAGCCTGCAGTTTAGGTCAGAAGTTGCTCTGGTTAAGTCTTTCCCACCCAGCAACAGTCACCTTTGCCATGTCTCTCTGGGGACCTGCATACCTTCCTTTACCAACAGCAGCCATCCCTAGCCTGGCCTCACTCATTCCTCACCAGCCACCTGTGTACCATCTCACATCTGGCAGTTGCCATCCCTAGCCCTGCTGCACTTGTGCCATACTGCCAAGCCTCCCCCATCTGACAGCAGTCACTTCCTGCCCTCCAGATTGTTTGCAATTCACCTGGACTTGCAACTTCCTGCCTGCTTTGCTTGTTAGAAGCCACCAGGAAATTGTGAACTTCATTGGCAGGATAGCTATTGGTAAGTTATACAATGATGTGGTGTCGTGCTTTATGACCACATCACTTAGTGTAGTTCCTTTTAACATTGTTCTATGTTCCTCTTACAGAGGTAAGTAATTGATGATAATTCATCCTGGCCAAATCCTATTATTCTTGTTAATATATTGTTGTTTAAAAAATTTTCAATTCCCTGTAAAATATTGAGGAAGCAGATTTTAACAATTATTTGTTGATGAAATTAGAATAAGTTATATTACTTTTTAATTTCTTCATTTCATCATTTAAACGTGTTCCACTCAAACAGGTTAGTAATATAAAAATGGACTGCCTTTGAACAACCTGTGTACATACACACACATAATATATATATATTGAAAAATGGTAATTAAAATAGTTAAATGAGTTAAAGGGGAAGAAAGAGAAAGGGAAAATTTTTAAAGAGATCAAATAAATGCAATTTTATTGGATAGTAATACTTATTGGAAGGAGGAGGAGGAAAAAGAAGAAGACGAAGAGAAGAAGGAGGAGGAGGAGGAGGAGGAGGAGGAGGAGGAGGAGGAAGAAGAAGAAGAAGAAGAAGAAGAAGAAGAAGAAGAAGAAGAAGAAGAAGAAGAAGAAGAAGAAGAAGAAGAAGAAGAAGAAGAAGAAGAAGAAGAAAAATTATCGCAACCTACATAATATATTTTTATATAATTTTCTTTATATATTGCTTCTAGTATCAAAGACTTCATACTCTTAAACTGTCTAAACTGGAAGATTTAAACATTTTAGTGGACTGTCTGTTTTAAGGAAAATAAAGGTTTTTTCTTTCTGGGAAGGAGTTGCTGAGCCTGGATAGAGACATATTCCTTTACTTGAAACTAGGTATCCGAGCAAATGTGGATGTAGCAAGAAGTCCTTCTCAGTAGCATTCTTTGTACATGTTATATTTTCTTCATTGTAAAATAGGTCCAGATTCTGAGTGCTGATGGTCTTGACCATGACGCTGATGAAACAGAAGATGAGGAATCTTCAGAACAGCGAGCTCGCAGACCAATGAATGCATTCCTTTTGTTCTGCAAACGTCATCGTTCCCTTGTCCGGCAAGAACATCCTCGTCTGGACAATCGTGGTGCTACCAAAATATTGGCAGATTGGTGGTCTCTTCTTGAACCTAAAGAAAAACAAAAATACACCGACATGGCCAAGGAGGTATACAATAACAGGATCAATATATTTGTTTGATTTATGTTTCACTTTTTTTACTCAGGCAAACCATTAAGACTGACAATTAAAAATCAAAGAATAGTATATAAATTAAAAACTACAACTTAAAATTAGCAGTAAAATAAGTGATAAATTTATGTAATAAGTAAAAGTTAAAAATGGCAAGCAGGGTGAAAACAAACAATTTTTTTTCAGAGCTTCCACTCCTCGCTCTTTGATTTATTGCTCTACCCCCTTCGGCCCTTGCTTGACCTGTGTAGCTTGGCCCCAGACACCAAGGCTCCCCCCCCCCATTCTTATTTAGAGGAGATCTTTCAGTGAAGTATTTTAGTAAATATCAAAAGAAGGAATTGGCAATGACTGTGTGAGTAATGATCCAGAACATTTGGGAAGCACCCAAATACAATGCAACCAAAACAAGATAAATATGTTAATAAGCTATATTTATTATTTGTTTTTTACATTTGCAAGAATATGATGTGCTTGAAAACATATCTACATTTTATGAGCTATTAAACTCCTCACATAGAGGTTCTCTTACCTTTGCATGGAGTTAATTTTTGAGAAAAATTTCAAACAGGTGTTTTTGTATTAAATATGAAATATAAGTTAATGCTTAGGTAAGATGATTCTGCAGTTATTCAGAAATTAAATAGTTAATATCATTAAGTTCTCTTTCTTAGCAGTGCATTTACAGGAGAATTTAGCATTATTTTAAAATGTTTTACTATGTAATCCTGTATTTCCCTATTTAGAAATACATCTTAAAAGTATTTTGAATATAGAGCTGCAATTGAAAATTATCAATACCGATTTATTTCTGTGCCATCTTGCTAATTTATGTCAAGCAATACTTTTCTTTGTTCTTTACCAATACCAGTCCTAAGCTGGCAAAAGTATTTTCCCTGCTGTCTGATTCAGTAATAAAAAAGTTATAAAAATAAAGTTCCATCATGGAATTAAAATGTGAAAAATATCCCCATTACCTTGTCTGCAATGAAGCAGCAGGGCTTTGGAGCTGGTTATTTATCTTCGTCATAATTTCAACTTATCTAACATTTTTTAACATTATCCCATTTCAAGATAAAAAGAGTTATAACATTTAATTGGGAAGACCCTTTTGATATAAGGGATTATTTATCTAAACTAAGTGATATCCTGCCCTTTATCCAAATAAGTTCAGGTAAAATTGAAAAGTTGTAAAATATATAAATTACTTTAAATTTTAAAAAGTTTATGGCAGTTAATGGTATTGTTGAGAATATTCTGTAATTGAAGGGCTACAAAGAAAATAACATCACTACTGTGTTTGCCTGAACATAATAAATAAATAGCAGGTAACATTGACACATTTTAAATTTTGCAGTGGTTTTTTTTATATAATAATCCTTGAGTTACAACTGTAGTAGATCCTTGCAATGTTGGTGACGACCAACATTAAGTGAGATGGTCTCGCTTAACGATCCCTACCCCCCAACTCTCCCTGATGCAGCTGTTGAACAAACTTGTAGGTTGTTAAGCAGAACACAGGGTCTGTCAGAGTAGGCCCTTGGAGGTCTAGTGCAGTCCCAGTGCCTTCTCTAGATCTTCCAAGATCTCCACAACCACCCCTGACATCCTGTGGTCTGCTTGCTGCTCCTTGGGACCCCATGGTCTTTCCCCCCTCCCAGGTTCCAGCCCCATTGTACCAGGTCCCCACATCCTCTTCCTCACTTACATTTTGAAGATTTCTGGGCCTCAGGTTGGTGAAAGATGACAGGTCATATGTCTCTGTGCCATGTTTTTCCTCCCAGAAGAGGCTGCCATTTTCAGTGCACCTGCAATTGCTTAACACAGTCTGCCCAGCACCGCAGAAAGCTTCTGCAGACCATCTTAAGGATTTGCAGATACACTGAAAATGGCCCCTTCTGGGAGGCAGCCATATGGCACAGGGATGGATGGCCTTCCCTTCTTCTCCAACAAGGATGGGAGGAAGAGTGGTGGGATGTGGCAGTGTCCCTGCAGTCAGTTGGAAGGATGAATTATCTCAGCATCACTGCAGTGGCCATAACTTCAAAACAGGATCGTATATGGCTTTTAGGGAGTCTTTGGCCATTAGATGACTGGTCGTATCTCAAGAACTTTCTGTAATGAAATTAGAAGCTGTTGATTAAAATGTTGACAATAAATAAACTAAAGAATCAAGTAGATACATGGAAAAAAATGAGCAGTAAATTGCATATTAGCGATAGTGTAATGTAGGAAATTTATCTTTGATGAACAAACCCTTAATTCATGGGGCAGGAAATTATTGTATAATATTCCTATGAAAACTTGCAATTCGGAAGCTGTTAAGAATAATTTTTCTTCTTTTAAAAATGAATACTGTGCTTCTAGTGATACGAGTCTAAAAGTAAGTTCCACATTTTCTATTGAAAAGAAACAATATGACTAAGTGTTCAGCCCAGTAATGTTCATTCCAAGAATGTGTAAGAAACATTCAATTAAACATATAATTTTTATTCTTTATGCGGTTTAAGAGTACAACAGCAGTAATTAGCAACAAAAACTTATCATTGAGCCTTCTTAATATTTCTTTGTTCTACAGGAAGAAATATGCATAGAAAATGAAAGTTTGTACTTTCAGTGGCATTCCTTATTTTAAGGACATTTTGTCTTTGTTATGTGTGTAGGCATAACACATTTATTTCATTGACCAGCTCTCACTTCAGTATGCGTGGACTGCTTGTTTGATGGAATAGGTGATCTGTTAACCTAAAATTATTCAATTTTTCTTAAATAAATGTACTGTACCTTAGACAATTTATTTGTTCTTATAGTATAAAGATGCATTTATGAAAGCAAATCCTGGCTACAAATGGTGTCCACCTACAAACAAACCTGTGAAAACTCAGTCACCCACACTAACAAATCGGAAAAAGCTTTGGGCTTTCCCATCAGAAGCGACAAAAGATTTACCTAGTCCAAAAAAGTTGATGAAGACAGAAGAAACCCCTCAGCTGAATTTTGCAATGGCAGGTATGTTTGTCAACGCCAGTCTTGCAAGCTTACCAGAAGGATGATTTGAGTTGTGGCTTTTACTTAATGAAATGAAAAAACAAAAAAATGGCCAAGTTTCCCATTATTAAAACCTATCTAGTTTTAAAAGGCCTATCTAGTTTTGCATTCCATTCACATAGTGTATCTTCCCAAGTCCTCAGTATAATAGTAGCTTTTTTGTTTCCCCTGTTATTCAAAAGCTGTCCTCAGATATTAGTGATAAAACATACTAATTGCAAGTAATTGCCACTTGCTTAGTGAATTTGCCTAATCACTTATCACTGAACTCTTTGGGGAGGTAATTCTGTTCTTCTACCCTACTCCTATTGGAGAAGACGTAGAATGCCAAATTATATTAGCTTCTAAACAGTAAATAACTTGGAATAGTGTTTCATATGAAGTCTGGACAGTACCAACTTGTTGGCTTTCAAGATCTGGTTGTTCCAAAAGCCATTTGAAGATTGGTTATATGTTTAGGTCTCCTCACTCCATAGGCAATTGTTAGTGCTAGGATTGTTTCCTGTGGCTTAAAGGGTGATTGTTGTTAGGCTTAGATTTTAAAAAAAACAACACAACTTTCTGTTTTACTTTGTATGTGTGTATAATTTGTAAGCCTCTCAAAACTATTCTGGATGTAAATTTCATATAAATTACAGTAATAAAATATAAATAAATATCTGCAGGTTGTATCTTTTCTAATATTTATTGGCCATAACAAATGCATTACTGTATGTAGAATGATTTTTTAAAAAAAAAACCAACTTATTGTGATTCATTTTTCTTAGCATGATGTTCTATTTTTTAAAGTAAATACCTAGTATTACCCTTGATTCTTTTTTTCAGTTAAAGCAGTCAAAATAGCTCTATGATTGCTTATGTAGGCATACAAACACACACATACAAAACCTAACAGTTTTATTAAAAAAAAAGACAAAATCCATTTTTTCCAACTTATTTTGAGATACCTTCCTTCTAGGTTAAGGTATTCAGTTATTACAGGTTACTTTACTATTAAGCTCCAGATGTTTAAGGCAATAGGTTTGCCTAAATGTACTTCAAAATAAATATTTTGACTAAAATTTTTCTATATATAATTTCTTTTCTGTCAGATCCCACACAAATGGGAGGCCTCAGCATGCTACTGTTAGCAGGAGAACATGCCTTGACTGCACAAGAAGTAAGTAATTATCTTTACTGTTTAATTATTTCTTTAAAAAAGAAAAATTGTTTAATAGGTTACATTACTACATAAAGTATTTTCATACCTATTTGGTACATCTTTTGTCTTGGATTAGTGACACCATTTTAACATTTAAGAATTTTTGTTTTTACTGAAAGAGCTTATTATAAAATATCCACTAGTTCAAAACTGCCTTCTCCTCCTATATTTAGAGGATTGGGGGTATGCACAAAGAGTGTGAGGGAAGGGAAGGCAGAGGACAACCTGTTGCATAGCTTTGATTATTTTCCTCAAAGACTGATATAGTTCTTTGCATTGTGCAGCATGAGAATTAAATGATTAAGGAAGTAGAACCGAACCTTTTTATATATGCAGTTACTTACAAGATATCTGAAATCAAGAGAAAATTTTCCACTTAAGTTGTTAAAAAGGATATATGAACAACAATGAAAAAATAAATTCAAAGAAAATTTCTCCTTTTTCTTTGATGTGCAAAAGTTTCAGAATGTTTCACATTCAAAATGTCTTGGTTTGCGTTTGCAGTAATTGTTGAAGCAAGAGTTGAATAGTGGTCAAAAAGTACATTTCAATCCAGAACAGTTGTTTAGAACTCAAAATGGGGCTTTTCAGAATTCAAAGGTTTAATTAAGAACCATTTTCAGATTCATTACGTTTAATAACCAGTGAGGTTCTGAAACAAAATATGAATGTGAAGAGGTTTTTTTGAAGCACTGCTAGGTGCATTTCCATTTCTATTCCTCAACCGATTGAGGAACCCAGCTATTTTTTTTTAATCTCCTCCATACAATTAGCCCACTTATTTTGAGGTATTTTATTTTATTTTCCTCCCCAAATGAGTAGTTCATAGACAAACTGACATTTCCACTTGCTGGGTTAGCTCTATATGGAGATGGACTTACTCTGAAGGATCAGATCAGCAGTGTGAAGATTCCCCTAAACCAGGGCTGTCAAACTGCCGGCCCGCAGGGCGGATGCATCATAGCGAAACCACGCCCACCCCATTGCTGGCAATGGCAAAAAAGTCACGATACTTCACAACACGTCACGTGACGTTGCGAGTTTGACACCCCTGCCCTAAACTCAAGCTGCAGATGGAGGCCATGGCTAGGGGAGCCTTTGCACACCTTCAGCTGCTGGACAAGGAAACTAGCAAGCCCTTACAAATCAGGACCGTATCACCATACAGATAGAATATTCCATACTTCCTACCTGGAACTGCCTTTAAAGGTAATTGGAAACTGCTGTTGTTCAGTGTATGGCGGCTTGATGGCTGGTGGCAATAACCAGTTGAATAATAAAATGCTTGTGCTAAAGTTCCTGCACTTGTTTGAAATAGTTTTCCAGATCAAGTTCAAAGTACTAGTATTAACTTACAAGTCCTATGTGGCTTGAAATTAATTAAACCTGGCTTGGTGGCTTATTGTAAGGTAATTAAATCATTTGTGTTTCAAGATTCATTTAGAAACTATTGTGATATCTGGCCTTTTTTTTTTAAATTTTGGTTGATTATATTATAGTTACAATTTTTATTTTAGATGTTTATGGTTTATAGAAGATGATGGAGAAGTTAGGCTTTTTGAATGCCTGCTGTAGAATTTAGGCTTTTTTATTTTCTGTAAACTATTTTGAGTCTTTGCGGGTGGCCATTATATAAGCAAGTATTGTGTTTTTCTTTACCAGACAGTTTTTCTCCTTTTGTTTCTAAAGAGTTTGTTATTTAAGAGAGCTTCTGTTAGCTGTTTGAATTCTGCGTTGACATTTGCAAATTACCATTTACACTGATCTTGGGAACACTTAGAACACTGCTCATATAAAGCAAAAATTGGATCTTTTCCCAACCAAAGCAATTAATATAGGTAGTCCCTGTTTAACAACAATAGTCTAGATCACTAACTCTGTTGCTAAGTGCTTTGGTAGTAAAGTATGACATCACATGCTTGTGCCAATTTATGCCAACAATTGTAGCAGTTCTGATTGCCATTATTTAGCAAATCCCATGTAGTCATTAACTGCAATGTCACATGATCACAATGTGCAACCTCTTCCTGGCTTCCCTGTTGACTGCTTCTTGGCAGCTGACAGTGAAGGTTAAAAGGACAATCACATGACCACACATGCTGTGACTGTCATAACTGTGAGCCAATTGCTAAGCACCCAAATTCCACTCACGTGACTGCGGGAATGCTGTAGTGGCCACAGCTACAAGGACCAGTTACAAGTGCTCTTCTTCATCACAGGCACAACTTCAGTGTCTGTATGACTGGTCATTAAACAAGAACAACCTATGGATGTATTGTTATGCAATCTATCCATGAAATGGAGGCCTTCATCCATGAATTTGTGGAAGATTAAGATAATTTGTCAGCATGAATATTTTCTCTAAGCATTTATATCAACTTAAGTACAGACAGTCTTAGAATTATGACCATTAGTTCAGCGACTGTTCAGAGTTATGCCAGTGCTGAATGAATGGTACTTATGACCAAGACTCAAATGTTCCTGCCATCACAGCACCCCAACAGTCACATGATTGGGATTAGGGCAAAAGCAATCAGTACATATTTACAGTATTTATAATGTACTGCAGTAATGTGATCCCTATTTGCAACCTTCTCTATCAGTTTCCCACGAGCAAAGTTAGTGGAGAAGACAGCAGGGAAAATCACAAGTTGTTTCTGGAAATTGATCCTAGTGCTTTTTCTTTAAGGAGCCCCACTGTGAAATAAGAACAAGATCCCAGATCTAATAAGCTATAGCACTGTTCTGCCAGCCTCTGGCCCTTGCTCACCAGCACATTGTACAGTCCAACCACAACCTCCAGCAAGCTACCCATACCCCTCCTGACCCACCCATGCTCTATCACACCTGTCCACAATCCCTTCAACCCACCCATGCTCTGTACCACCCACCTTGGCTCCTGCTGTCACATCCGCAGTACCCACACATCCCTGCACTCATCGCTTGGAATTCTCACCTCCTCCTGCTTAATGACCCATATGGTCCTAGGGTGACAATGGCAACCGGTATTGCTGTTGCTAAGCGATGCAGTCATGCCACATTGTGCTTTATGATCGCATCACTGAGTGACAGAAAATCCAATCCCAATTGCCTGAGGACTACCGGTACTGTAATGCTATCACAGTTCTATTTAGAAAATCATATTTCTACAACATTCTAAGAATTTAATTGGAAATTAGAAGGACTTCCTAAAAACCTCATAAATTTATTGCAGAGTACTGCCTATTATTAGCATTTTTTCTAATCTATCCTAAACTTTAGTCTTTTTAATTACAAAAAATTAGGAGAGAATAGTAATAGAGTAACAGCAGAAGGAAAACACTTTACGATTCTTAATTTTCATGTGTATTTCATTGGTAGAAATTAAATAGTATTGTGTTTCATTAAGAATATATTTTATGATAATTAAACTAATTGCAGATAAGCTGTTTATCTGTTAAACAGTTAACATTAAAATGGATATTGACAATTACTAACTTTGCTTAGGTTCTTGTAAAAACTTGTAGCAAAAAGCTGTGAATGATTTAGAATGCTTTTTTTAAATATTTGTACCTGATAATGAAAATGAACAATTGGTACAGGTATGTGACAAAAATTTTAAGTACCAATTGCACCTTTTAGGTTATAAAATGAAATATAAGTAAAATAAATAAATCAAATAAAAATGAAAGGTCTGATTGTTATTATTGTTCATTAACTTTTATTCTTGAACCACCTTTCAGTTTTATGGTAGGATGTTTGCTCTTTAGTACATTCATATATGAAAATCAGAAAGATCTTTGAATTTAGTCCTTCCTGAATGTGACTGCAACCCTGATATCAGCTCTACTCATTTTTATTGGGAATTCTTACTTCTCATACCATTTTTGTTTGTTTGTTTGTTTGTTTATGAAACTCTTAATATATCAGGAACCCTGTCTTTTGTCAGTTCTTTTTTCTTCTTCAAATTAGTCTCATTTCTGTACCTATCCAAATTTAAAATGTTTTTGGTTTATTAATCATTTGCTTTTTATTTATTCATCTCTTTCTTTTATTTTAAAAATTATCTATTATTCTTTATAAGAAGCCTAGAACATTCTCATTTTTTCTGCTGTCCTATGTGTTTGGAATATTACCATGAGTATTGAAATGTCTTTGTTAATTTTGGTTAAATCAACATTTCTACTGCAAGTTCTTTTTGCTTATAATTTTTATGATTGTTTATTCAGTTTCTCTCTCTCTCTCTCTCTCTCTCACACACACACACACACACATTTATTTTTCCTTTTTTTCCAATATATTGTAAATCTCCAAGAAAAAAGTCTTATTGCTCATATATTGTTGAAAACAATTTTGATTTTGATTATTTGTTCAGTGCTTAAATTTTCCTTCTTATATTGTTTACTTTAGGTTTCTTCAAATACATGTCTTTCTGATTCCCCTAATTCTACTGAAGGATGTCTAAACTCAACAATGTTACAATTTGCTGAGGTAAACCTCTTAGAATGACCATTTTTTTTGTTAAGTGGTACAGCAACAGTTTATAACTACTGAAAAGTATTTCCTTAATGGAATACAATTTAATTCCACGAGAGCCTTGGTTATCATGCAGTTATTACTTATTGTAAATAAAGTAGTATTGGATTTAGACTGGAAAAACTATTTTTTTCAAAAGTTTTTTTAATCCCACCTTTATATTATTTGAGTTATTATTATTAATAACCCAAGGCAGTGATCATATCCAATACTGATTTTTCCGCCTATTTTCCCTACAACAGTGATGGCGAACCTTTTAGAGACCAAGTGCCCAAACTGCAACCCAAACCCCACTTATTTATCGCAAAGTGCCAGGGCTGTATCACCATTGTGGTGCCCTCACGGGGTGTGGGGGTGTGGCCCACTGGGTGGGCGTGGCTGCAGTGGTCACGGCAGACTGGGTGAGGGTGGCCGGGGCCACTCCCTCGCCATCTCTGGGGCATCCCCGGGGGACCAAACACTGCTTGCTTGCTCACTTCCTGCCCTGTCACTTCCAAACGCCATGTGCTCGCTACTCTGGCGAACTCTGCTGGGGCAACAGCACACGTGCCCACAGAGAGGACTCTGAGTGCCGCCTCTGGCACATGTACCATAGGTTTGCCACCACTGCCCTACAATAATAATCCTATGAAGTGAGTTTAGATGAGAAAGAATGACTGGCCTTAAGTTACCCAGCCAACTTTCATGCCTAAGGTAAAACTAGAACTCATAGTTTCCTGGTTTCTAGTCTAGTACCTTAACTGCTAACCATTATTCTAGTGCTTTTAAACATTTAACATGCAAGATGAGATGCTTAATTTTATTCAGGTAACACAGATATTCAGTTAAAATATTTTATTTAATAAAAGCTATTTAAGACTATTTTTGCAATTCTCTACTTGAGTATTTATGATGTTGGGGTTTTTTGTAAGATTTTCATTGTGAAATTTTATGTCATTTTTTTTAAAAAAATACTACTTGCTTTGGAAAATGGCTTTTTTTATTCTTTATATGCTCAATTATATATGCCACACAGTCACTTTCTTTGAGATAGGCAGGTTTATATGTTAAGAAAGAAAGAAAGAAAAAGAAAGAAAGAAAGAAAGAAAGAAAGAAAGAAAGAAAGAAAGAAAGAAAGAAAGAAAGAAAGAAAGCTCAGTTATGTTGTGGCCACAAATATCATTTGTGTTATGTGTCATTTGAAAAATAGACTGTTGATATAGGATAACTTAGTTGTTGTTTTGAAAAAATACCTTTCCATCAGATTTCTTCAAATCTGTCAAAGGGAACTGTTCCTGAAAATCCAAAAGAAAGTGGTGAATCAACTCTACTTCATTTCTCAGAGGTACAACAATACTATATTTTTGAGAAAAAAAAGGAGATGAAATTTTATAAAAATATGTAGCTGTTGTTTTAAATTTTGTTATATATGGTTTTAATCCCAATTACATATTGGATAGTTATACACTGCTCAAATGGAGGGTTGGACTGGCAATATAAGAAAAGAATGCAATATAATGTGCAGAACAATCTTCACAGCAAGAGTATTTCACATATTGATTCTAGCACTGATATGAATACAGGTAGTCCTCATTTAGCAACCACAGTTGGGAGCAGCAACTCAGTCTTTAAGTGAAACCACAACTTTTCTTATCATCTTACATCAGCTTTCCTTTACTTTATAGACCCACAAAGGTTGTTAATGCTAGCATTAGTCGTTAGTTACTTTTTCAGAATCCTTGTAACTGTAGTTACAAACAAGGCTGTCACTAAACATGGACTAGGGCAGGGGTGTCAAACTGCTGGCCCGCAGACCAGATGCATCATAGTAAAACCGCGCCCACCCCATTGCCGGCAATGGCAAAAAAGTTGCAATACGTCGTGACACGTCATGTGATGTTGCGAGTTTGACATCCCTAGACAGGGTATTTTGATTTGAGTATTTGTGCAAATTAGTAATCTGATATAATAAATACAAGTGATATGTGGAAATCTAGTTCCTCTCCTTGAAGTTACTGAGAAATATTGTAGTATTATACTTCAGGTATATACATATATGGTATATACATTAGTTATGGATTCTGTATATGTTTAATAATTCAGAGACAACCAAAATAGTAGTCAGTATTCTGAATATCAATGAGAAATGTTTTAATTCTGCTATATGTAAAATTTTGTTCCATCCTCAAATGTTTTTTCACATTTTTTCTTCATCAGTCTTTTCTCTACTTTACTATTTCTTGCACATTTTTCTTATTTTCATACTTATTTCATTTTAAGATGGCAAATTTATAATTGCATTAGTTCATTCTTTCTCATTTAATAGTATGCATAATAATTCTTACAATTTTATCAAATTTATTATAGCATCTTGGAATCAATTTTGAAATGAAAAGATCAAAGGTTGACCACTAGATAGCAAGGCTACCAATTTTTGTATAAGGAAAAAGAAAAGTTTACTTTTCCACAATTATCTGTTTCTTTTTAGAATGTCAAAGGTGGAAAAGAGAAAAGCATGGTTGATTTTTTTTGGCTTATGAAACCAGATGTTAATTGTGGAATAGATCATAAATTGCTCATTTGCAAATTTCCAATTAAGCTAAAGCTTAACCAGTTTCTACAATATGATCTTATGTATCGACCTATCATTTTTAAAGAGAGAACCAGAATTAGTTTGAAATCCTGAAATTTACTGATAGAGGCTCAGAAGAACTGTGAAAAATAAACGAGACATTGTTAAGGATGAATGTGACAAGGTACAACCTATAAAGTCTTGGAATCTACAGTAAAATCGTGACTTTTTGGATAACTGTGGCAGGAACAACACAGGTTATGCTAGCACTGCCAAAATAAAATATCCTAAAAGGAATATTTTTATGTATGTGTTAGTTTTCACTTAAAGGATTTAATTCCTTCCTGCTTATTTTAAAATCTTTATGTCTTCACTTGCAGCTGAAGGGTCCTGAGCCAATCAAGCACTATAGAAAATCAGCACTCTTCCAGTTGGCTGAGGTAATCTTGTTTTATTAATTTTGTGACTCTTTGGAAAAAGAAGCACCAGAAATGTATTCCAAAGGATGCAGTTCAGAATTGTATATGTAAGCATAGATCACCCCAATTATTAATGTAATGTAACTTACTTTTAGAACACAAATTGATTTTAAATCAGATCAGTGAATATTAAATCTGCTTGTAAAATACTTTTACAGAGAAGCCAGAAAAAAGAAGACAGATACTAATAATTTTCAGCAAAAGGTTTACGATCTGTGTTTTCTATAATATATGAAAGGTAGATTATACAGGAATGGCAAAACATTGATCGTCACTTTCAAGCATACACCACTTCTTTAATGGTATAGAAAAAAACGGGCTCCAGTGATATTACATTGCAGATAACTCAGTTTTGCAATCCTAACCTCTAAAGAGAACCCCAATCCCATAAGTTCCAATAAAACTTTCATGTTTCTAGAAATCTGGAACTGAAAATAATACTTTAGTTCTGAAAAGATGCTTTAATTTATATACAGTTTTGTAATGAAAAAATGCAAGTACAATTTTTCAAATATTAATTCACTGTATACTCGTACTAAGCAAGGCATATTTGCAATTTGATTAGGAACAGAATGTCAGTTTAATTATCCTCATGGGAGTTTCTTTAAAGGACAGCAGAGGGGTATAGAGAATCTTATTTTTTTTTTTTTTTATATATAAATTTTTATTATTTTCATCATAAGAAAAAAAACACATCACAAATACATCACAATGTAAAAACCCCTACCCCCCACCCCCCACCCGGACTTCCCAAACCTAATCCCAGGATACTATTCAACTACAAGTAAACTACTATTAGTATCCCTAACTCCACAAAATATTAGTCTACATAAGTAGGTGAAATATATAA